CACCGTCTTGGCAGACGAGGAAAAGAGGGGGATGGTGAGGGGGACCGTGTGGGGGGATCAGCTCGGGGAGGAGTAGGAGGAGGAGGAGGAGGAGGACCTACGCTAGCGAATCCGCCCGTTCCTGGGCGGGGCGGGCCATCGGGCCCCTCTCGGCGAAGAGTTTCCTCTTGAGGTGCGAATGGCGATGATGAGTTGGAGGTGAATCTTCCCCCGTAGAACCTGAACACGGGCGGGTTCCGTGGTCAGCGGATCCGATGTCTTCCGGCTCCCCGTTTAAAATAGGAATATGAATTTAACACGGGGTAAAAATCGGACCCGCCGTAAAAAAAAGACCCAACACGGATCCAGCAAATCCGAAATCGGATCCGCGCGGACGGAAATCGGATCCACCGAACAAACATCAAAACCACACTTGGATCCGCGCGAACTTCATGGGATCCGACGGCTATTACCTCAGACGCGTCTGCTCAAGACTTAAGCCGTCGTTCCGGGCCCAAGAGGAAAACCCTTTCGTCCTGGGGATGGCCGTTTTGGCATTCGGACTTGTTGGTTACCACATAGCCGACGCACCACATCTCACAGGCAGTCCGTTGTTGGTTACCACATAGCCGACACACCACATCTCACAGGCAGTTTAGGGGGTCAGGAGACGCAGGGCGGAAACACGCTTACGCAGGACGAAAGATTTTCTTCTTGAGGTGCGAATGGCGATGATGAGTTGACAAATTAATGATCGAACCCCCTTCCCCCGTAGAATCTTAATACGGGCGGGCTCCGGGGTCCGCGGATCCGATTTCTTCCCGTTTCCCGTTTGAATTAACATCGGACCCGTCGTAAAAAAAAGACCCAACACGGATCCAGCAGATCCGAAATCGGATCCGCGCGGACGGAAATCGGATCCACCGAACACACATCAAAACCACACTTGGATCCGCGCGAACTTTCTGGGATCCGACGGAGGTTATCTCAGACGCGTCTGCTCAAGACTTAAAGCCGTCGTTCCGGGCCCAAGAGGAAAACCCTTTCGTCCTGGGGATGGCGTGCTGGGGATGGCCGTTTTGGCCTTCGGACTTGCTGGTCACCACACAGCCGACGCACCACATCTCACAGGCAGTCCGTTGATGGTTACCACATAACCGACACACCACATCTCACAGGCAGTTTGGGGGTAGGAGACGCAGGGCGGAAACGCACTTAGGCAGGGCGAAATATTTCTTCTTGAGGTGCAAATGGCGATGATGAGTTGGAAGATAATGATCGAGCCCCCTTCCCCTGTAGAATCTTAATACGGACGGGTTCCGGGGTCCGCGGATCCGATTTCTTCCAGTTTCCCGTTTGACTCAAAATCGGACCCGCCGTAAAAAAAAGACCCAACACGGATCCAGCAAATCCGAAATCGGATCCGCGCGGACGGAAATCGGATCCACCGAACAAACGTCAAAACCACACTTGGATCCGCGCGAACTTCATGGGATCCGACGGCTATTACCTCAGACGCGTCTGCTCAAGACTTAAAGCCGTCGTTCCGTGCCCAAGAGGAAAACACTTTCGACCTGGGAATGGCCGTTTTGGCCTTCGGACTTGTTGGTTACCACATAGCCGACGCACCACATCTCACAGGCAGTCCGTTGTTGGTTACCACATAGCCGACACACCACATCTCACAGGCAGCTCGGGGGTCAGGAGACGCAGGGCGGAAACGCACTTACGCAGGGCGAAAGATTTTCTTCTTGAGGCGCGAATGGCGATGATGAGTTGACAAATTAATGATCGAACCCCCTTCCCCCGTAGAATCTTAATACGGGCGGGCTCCGGGGTCCGCGGATCCGATTTCTTCCCGTTTCCCGTTTGAATGAACATCGGACCCGCGGAAATTATCCTGGCGAAGGACCCAACCATATGCAATTGTGAATACTGCAATTGTGAATATCTTCTCGGTGGAGCCCCCTACGGGGCCACGAAACGTACGAGGGGTGTGCCGAAATGTGTGTGCCGGACGCATGCGGGCACACCCACTGGGGCCTTCGGTGGAGCTCCCTATGGGGCCACGAAGCGTGTGAGAGGTGTGCCGAAATGGGTGTGCGGGACGCATGCGGGCACACCGACTGGGACCTTCGGCGGACCTCCCTATGGGGCCACGGAACGCGTGAGGGGCGTGCCGAAATGGGTGTGGCTGACGCATGCGGGCGCGGGCACTGGGGCCTTCGGCGGAGCTCCCTATGGGGCCACGAAACGTGTGAGGGATGTGCCGAAATGGGTGTGGCTGACGCATGCGGGCGCGTGCACTGGGGCCTTCGGTGGAGCTCCCTATGGAGCCACGAAACGTGTGAGGGGTGTGCCGAAATGGGTGTGGGTGACGCATGCGGGCGCGGGCACTGGGGCCTTCGGTGGAGCTCCCTATGGAGCCACGAAACGTGTGAGGGGTGTGCCGAAATGGGTGTGGGTGACGCATGCGGGCGCGGGCACTGGGGCCTTCGGTGGAGCTCCCTATGGAGCCACGAAACGTGTGAGGGGTGTGCCGAAATGGGTGTGGGTGACGCATGCGGGCGCGGGCACTGGGGCCTTCGGTGGAGCTCCCTATGGAGGCCACGAAACGTGTGAGGGGTGTGCCGAAATGGGTGTGGGTGACGCATGCGGGCGCGGGCACTGGGGCCTTCGGTGGAGCTCCCTATGGAGCCACGAAACGTGTGAGGGGTGTGCCGAAATGGGTGTGGGTGACGCATGCGGGCGCGGGCACTGGGGCCTTCGGTGGAGCTCCCTATGGAGCCACGAAACGTGTGAGGGGTGTGCCGAAATGGGTGTGGGTGACGCATGCGGGCGCGGGCACTGGGGCCTTCGGTGGAGCTCCCTAGGAGCGACGAAACGTGTGAAGGGTGTGCCGAAATTGGGTGTGGGTGACGCATGCGGCCGCGGCCACTGGGGCCTTCGGTGGAGCTCCCTATGGAGCCACGAAGCGTGTGAGGGGTGTGGCGAAATGGGTGTGGGTGACGCATGCGGGCGCGGGCACTGGGGCCTTCGGTGGAGCTCCCTATGGAGCCACGAAGCGTGTGAGGGGTGTGCCGAAATGGGCGCGGGCACTGGGCCTTCGGTTCCGATCTTTCCCTATGGAGCCACGAAACGTGTGAGGGGTGTGCCGAAATGGGTGTGCTGACGCATGCGGGGCGCGGCACTGGTGCCTTCGTTGGTTTCCCTATGGAAGCCACGAAACCGTTGAGGGGTGTGCCTGAAATTGCCGAATTGGTGGTGGGTGCCGCAGGGGCGGCCCACTATGCGGGCCTTCGGTGGGGCTCCCTATGGGGCCACGAAACGTGTGAGAGGTGTGCCGAAATGGGTGTGGGTGACGCATGTGGGCGCGGGCACTGGGGCCTTCGGTGGAGCTCCCTATGGAGCCACGAAACGTGTGAGGGGTGTGCCGAATTTGGTGTGGCTGGCGCATGCGGGCGCGGGCACTGTGGTTTTCTGTGGAGCTCCCTATGGAGCCACGAAACGTGTGAGGGGTGTGCCGAAATTGGTGTGGGTGACGCATGCGGGCGCGGGCACTGGGGCCTTCGGGGGAGCTCCCTATGGAGCCACGAAACGTGTGAGGGGTGTGCCGAAATGGGTGTGGCTGACGCATGCGGGCGCGGGCACTGGGGCCTTCGGTGGAGCTCCCTATGCAGCCACGAAACGTGTGAGGGGTGTGCCGAAATGGGTGTGGGTGACGCATGCGGGCGCGGGCACTGGGGCCTTCGGTGGAGCTCCCTATGGAGCCACGAAACGTGTGAGGGGTGTGCCGAAATGGGTGTGGGTGACGCATGCGGGCGCGGGCACTGGGTCCTTCGGCGGAGCTCCCTATGGAGCCACGAAACGTGTGAGGGGTGTGCCGAAATGGGTGTGGGTGACGCATGCGGCCGCGGGCACTGGGGCCTTCGGTGGAGCTCCCTATGGAGCCACGAAACGTGTGAGGGGTGTGCCGAAATGGGTGTGGGTGACGCAGGCGGCCGCGGGCACTGGGGCCTTCGGTGGAGCTCCCTATGGAGCCACGAAACGTGTGAGGGGTGTGCCGAAATGGGTGTGGGTGACGCATGCGGGCGCGGGCACTGGGGCCTTCGGCGGAGCTCCCTATGGAGTCACGAAACGTGTGAGGGGTGTGCCGAAATGGGTGTGGGTGACGCATGCGGGCGCGGGCACTGGGGCCTTCGGTGGAGCTCCCTATGGAGCCACGAAACGTGTGAGGGGTGTGCCGAAATGGGTGTGGGGGACGCATGCGGCCGCGGGCACTGGAGCCTTCGGTGGAGCTCCCTATGGAGCCACGAAGGGTGTGAGGGGTGTGCCGAAATGGGTGTGGGGGACGCAGGCGGCCGCGGGCACTGGGGCCTTCGGTGGAGCTCCCTATGGAGCCACGAAACGTGTGAGGGGTGTGCCGAAATGGGTGTGGGTGACGCATGCGGGCGCGGGCACTGGGGCCTTCGGTGGAGCTCCCTATGGAGCCACGAAACGGTGTACTGGATGGGTGAAGAGGAGAGGAGGAGAGGAGGGGAGGAGAGGAGGAGAGGAGAGGAGAGGAGAGGAGAGGAGAGGAGAGGAGAGGAGAGGAAAGGAGAGGAGAGGAGAGGAGAGGAGAGGAAGGATGATAGCGATAGAGAGAGGAGTAGGGAGAGGAGATAGAGGAGAGGAAGGAGAGAAGGATAGAGAGGGAGAGGAGAGGAAGATAGGAGAGGAGAGGAGAGGAGAGGAGAGGAGAGGAGAGGAGAGGAGAGGAACGCGGGGCACCGTCTCTTCAAAACGAGGCCCCAACACCACAGGATGGTTGGGAAAAAAGACTAAACACGGATCCAGCAAATCCGAAATCGGATCCGCGCGGACGGAAATCGGATCCACCGAACAAACACCAAAGCCACACTTG